TCACGAAATGTACACCAATCGTACCCCAATAAACTGGAAAACTTACCTTTGCAAACACGTCTCTTATGCCGCCTTCTTGAAGTTCTTGAAATCAAATAAAGTTACTAGTTCTTCTAGTAACGAGTGAATGAGACCACTGAGCCAAACAGAATACATGTATAAACAGTACTATAATAAATTGCACGCAATGGAGAAATCACGTGCCGTAATAACAGCAGCCTTACTCACAGATCTAATCTACTGTAAAATATTTTATTTCAGCTGGAATTATCATTCGCTGAAAAGACTTTTTCTGGGTGTTTTGTATTGAATTTATTTTCATTGATTTTTGACAAGTTGACTGTAAAATATAAGAAAAGGGTATATTCGCTGGATTTTATTTTAGCTGAAACATTCCTTCAGCGAAAATAGCAAAAAAATGTTGCAAGCAAAAATAAAGTATTTTACAGTAATTAATTTATTCTGAGCATGCGCAGACGTTTTGTCAATGTTGCCGGGAGAGGCAATTTTTGATAAAATCGTGAAAAAGACCCACTTGGGATTTTCAGATCTGGAAAAAAAATTACGTGCATACTCGGAGGGAACATGTTCATCAACCTGCCAAGTTTCACTGATATCTGCTGTAGAATTTCTGAGAAAATGTTGGAGACTGAATTATGGACATAACCTGAATTAGTAGTCCTCTTTTCAGGCTGCGCCTGAACGGGAACTAATTAAGATACCAGCAAGTCCTTGAAAATGACACAGTCCCCGTTAAATTTTTGAAAGTTCTCCTTGTGCTCATTATATTAAAGCAGAGGGGTTGTCGCGAGCGTGTCCTTGAAACTTGAGTTCCAAGTGGCGTATACAACAGATTGTTTATTTACATCAAAACATGTGTTCCATGTAGTAGTAATATGGCCAAAAATAAAAACAGCCGTTATTCGGCCATCTTTGATCTGATTATAAAAACACTGATATGTATGATGTATGTGCCAAATACGAATGAAAATGGTACATAAATTGTGGAAATATAGTAGTAAGGCCAAAAAGTTAGATGGCTGTCAATTGGCCATCCTTGACCAGATTTTGAAACAAATTGTCATGGACATGCATCCTAACATGTATAAAGTACATGTGCCAAATTTTAATGAAAACTGACAGTGCACGTCCAAGATACCGCACAAAAAACCCAAACAAGATGCCTGCCAGTCAACCATCTTTGATCCAATTGTGAAATAAATCGTCATGGACATGTATCCTAACATGTATAATCTATGTACCAAGTTTGAATGACAACTGACAAAGCATGTCCAAAATACAACATTTTCAAAAAACAAGATGGCTGCCATTTGGCCATTTTGAATCAAATCGCTAAACTACTGCATGTGCATATGTCCCACATAAGGTACAAGGCACATGCAAAGAATGGACGGAATCGGTCCACAAGATTCTGAAATACGACTCTGGACAGACTGACAGACAGACAGACGAACAGACAGACGGACAGACAGACAGACAGACTCGGGAACTCACGGACATGTATCCTAACATGTATAATCTATGTACCAAGTTTGAATGAAAACTGACAAAGCATGTCCAAAATACAACATTTTCAAAAAACAAGATGGCTGCCAATCGGCCATTTTAAATCGAATCGCTAAACCACTGCATGTTCATATGTCCCACATAAAGTACTAGGCACATACAAAGTTTTCGGACTTCATCTGAACGGGGACTAATAATAAACTGATGTAATCCACTCTCCGCCTCTGATCACCTATCTCACCAACTATCATAACACTCACCGTTGCCAGCCTCTTGTCCATCTCTGGTACAGCTTTTTCTACAGCACATTTTTGGATGAAAGCACATGCCAACTCCACATTCTCTGTAGCCACCACTGTAGCTGCTTGCTCTATCATTTCTTTCTGTTGAGTTGTAGCACCCTGAGAGAGAAAGATCAAAATCATTACATATGCACGAATAAACAACTGTATGGATAATTACACAGGAGATGAGTACCTGTATAATAAATGCGACTGAAATCATGAAAAAATAATAAAATAAATGGTTTGACATACCTTCAGAGCAGTGAGGCAATTATTTTTGAAATTATTACTAATGCTAACCATGAGTGGTTCCCTACACGTTATCATGGCCATGCCAGCTGTCAGATTGCGTACCATGTGGTGGGCTGCAGCACGCATCCGCGACTCTTCAGGGTCCAATGCAAAGTCCTACAAAATATATCAATCAATATAATAGTTTTATAAATAATCAATAGATCAACAAAAATGAGCAATAACATTTTTACATATGGATCAGTAAGTAAGCCTTGGTTGTCCACATTAAAGTCAAGATGAACTAGACTTCAGGACTTCATAGATTCTCTTCATTTCCAATACAATCAATCAACACAATCAAAGAAATGTTGTATATTCATACCTTCTTGACAATTTGTTCACACGTTGTCATTGCTATCTTGATAGATCTCTCCACTACCGGAGTCACCAATTCCTGGACGGCACGGTCTACTGATGGTCTCACACACTGCTTCAATGTTAAATTAGCTTGGAAAAGAGCAATCTGAAAGTAAATGCAAGTGACGTACAAAAGTTATTACATTTTGTAAGACTAAGAAAATGAAACTGGGAAAGCAGAAACATACAAGCTCAATGTTTTACTGAAGAGAATGTTTTAAAGGAACACTACTATATAATGTTCTGAAAAGGAAACCTGAATGCACATTTGCCATGACTGCTCTACTTGTGTATTGTTCAATGGGTTATTAATTGGATCAGTAAGTAAGCCTTGGTTGTCCACATTAAACTTCATAGGTTCTCTTCATTTCTAATGTGATCATATAGTGTGGAGAAAATTTGGCCAGTTTTGGAATAGCAGAGTGTTTTAACTTCAAATTTGTACCCACTGTAAAGATTGCCAAAATTTCCAATAGTCTTTGCTATGTTGTTTGCCTCCAAATGAGAGAGAGGACTGTGATGTAAAAATCGTGCAGATCATACCCTTAGATATCTCACCCAACAGTATTGGTTCACTTCAAAATTTACTTTATTTAGTGATTTATAACAAAATTGAACTTTCAAGTAGTCACATCCCAAATACTGAAGTTCAATCTCCATTATTATTTTACAGTCACTGTAACAGTTTTAGTTGACTCCTGATGTTTATAGTATTTGTGCCATATTCAACCACCCGGAAACATGGGGGAATATTATTTAAAGTTGAATTTATAAACTATTCAGAAGCAGGAATATCAGTTCTCTTGTTTGTGTTGGACATACCTGATTATTGATAGCAATATGTGGAGCCAGACCAGCCAACGATGATACGTTGAGATCATGAAAACTGAATTGGGGCTGTGGAGGTACTGGAGTGGCAGTCGTGGTAGTACTTGTTGTGGTAGCAGCTACTGTTGTGGTATCAGCTGAACTAGTGGTGGTTGTAGTTGTAGATGCTGGAAGATTCTCCTCGACTTTGATAACAGGAGAGAATATCTGTTCTTCCAAAGCAATCAGCCTCTCTGTGTCTTGTAGTAGGGTTCCTGGAGCCAGATCCTTGTAATGCATGACAAAAATTACTTTTATATCAAGAAATGAAGTGATGGCTGCTGGGTCTGGCATTGTAAAACAAATACTGCACAAACCACTAACTATGCTGTGTATTTGATTTTTTTTTTCATTTGGCAAAGTTAGTTAGCTAACAATTAGTTGCTTAACAGATTTATCAGACCTGGCAGTTGCACAATGAAGACTACTCAACAGCTGAAAACAAAATGCAAAATGTAACCACAGTCAAGACTGTGGAATGAATCAAATGGACAGAACCCAACCCACTAGTCCCTTGCTTTCAACTGAACATAATATAGGTTCCATTGACAGAACCCAAACCAAAAGTCCCTTCAAACATGATATGTAATACTCACATTGATATCTAAATTGAGGGTCTTGCACAAAACTTCAATTTCAAATTTCAAATTAAGCTACAAAGACAAGAATTGGAGGTATATTATTTATCAATGATAGAATATATAAACACACATCAATGAATGATTAGGTTCATTATCTGGATCAGAAAGTAAGCCTGTGATTGTCCACATAGATGTCAAGATAGACAAGACTTAAGATTATTTATAGAGTGTCTTCATATCCAGCAACATTAAAAAATAATCAAAGAAAGCTTAGAAAAAACTCCCGTGTGCTGAGAGTATTGGAGACACAGTAAAAATTAATTCAAAATTACTTGAAATTGAGATGTTGATGGAAACGCAGAAAATTTATTATGCAAATAAGGTAACGAACAGATTTAAGTGTCAAACTAATAAGGTCTGAACAATGTACCAAGTTTCATTGAAAGGTGATTAGAACCAAAAAAATATTAATTATTATGCTAATTAGAGAATTAATATGAACAGATTTTAACCCAAAATTAATCAGGCTGTCAATTGTCCTAGACCATTTATGTACCAAGTTTTATTCAAATGTGATGATTAATACTTGAGATATACAGTATTAATTAATTATGTTAATTAGGTGATTAAGAAGCATAAATATTTACCAAAAACTAATATGGTGTATAGTCCT